TTCTATATGAAGAATCAACTATAAAATCTAATATATATATAAAAGAAGGATCAAAATTGAGAATCCAATTTTCCCGCCTAAATCTGAGATCTACGGCCCAATTTCACTCTGAAAAAACTGAACAAATCCTGGCCACAAGTAATAATCAAGGGCCCAATTTCAATTTTGTAAAAAAATTGAAAGATCCTAACCATTGATTTCATTTCGATTCCAAAAGCAGTTCCAGACTTATAACCGCAGACCTCCACTAGCATATGAAAACTACCCATCTGCGACGCTTCCTTCGGAAAAGCTTATCTCCATCGCATAACTCCATCATCGATCCCTGGGATCTGCATCCAACTCTCTCCATCGCACATCACCGTCAATCAGAGGTCAACTGCCGACCTCAATCGGCATCCTGCTCCCCTGGCAACAACAGTTGCATATCTTTTAACCCGGGAGCGCGCTTCTAACCCAATCGCCGACAACAAACCCATCGTTTGATGAAGAAGAAGACGGTGGCAAACCTAGCGATAGCAACGACCTGCTCTTAAGATTAAGATGAAGGATATCTTCGGTGTCTAGCATCAGAGAATTTGTAAGTCGATCTTCTTTAAAATTTTGCTTTTCTTAAGTTGAGTTTCTTAATTTTTTTAACACAATTTACTTTAATTTCGAAATTTTGGTTTAAGATCTAGGCTGGTTTGGTTGAATATTCATGTTGATTCATGTTCCTCAAAGTTATTATTTGTTTAAAATTTGTTCAACAATGAATTTTTATGTAAAATATGAACTCTAAGGTCTAATCTGTGAGCATTGTATGCTGAATTTGCTAAAAAAATCTAACCTATACTGCCTAATTCTTCACAGCCAACAATCTTACATGGTACCTAGACACATCCCTTCTGTGAAATAAGTGATTAATGTTAAACAACTACTTTGAGACCAAAGCATGTATAGTAATCTATTAATATCATTTTTTAAATGTGCATTATATTTTCTAACCAAGTTTAGTATTAGACCATTCCTGACTTTCTTGCAATCTGTTTTTTTCTTTATGTGTAGGTTCTTTGAGTTTAGCTACTGCAACCTCTAAGTCACAGGGAATGACAGTTCCGAAGAAAAATTGAATGAATTATTGGTTGTGTTCATCAGGTAAAATGTGTGTTTGTCCAAGGTTAATTTTAGTTTCAAGCAATATTATTAATGAAAGTGACATGTTTCTAACCAAGTTTAAATTGAGACAACTCTTAACTACTACGAATCTGATTTTTTCTTTATGTGTAGGTTCTTTTAAGTATTAGCTACTGCAGCCTCCAAGTGATAGGGAATGATAATTCTGGAGCAAATTTTATGAATTATTGGCTGTTTTCATGAGGTAAATTCTGTGTTTGACAATTCTGCATATTTTTATATTGTTTGTAATGTTTTTTATCCCTTAGAGTGTATATGCTTGAAATATGAATCATCATTGGTATATTTGCTTAAGAACAACATTTAGGTTCTGATTTTTGAATTTTAGATGCTGAATAGGTAGAAAATCTGATATGAAATACTTTTTATTATAAAAAATCTGTGACATATTTACTTGAATTCCATGGTTATCTACATTTGTTTTTCAAAATTTCTGTTTACTTGCAGCCAATTCAGCACCTCTTTCGATGACAAGCTCTTGGACTTCACGAAACTTATAAAAAGAACAACAATGTCAGCTCTCTTCCAACATAAAAGTATCATCGGAAATGACTTGTAAGTACTTGTTTTTTTTCTTTCTATTCTATCAAATGTTCACACATTAGTTTTACAATTTTCATTAGCAAAGTTTGTTAAATGCTGCTAGGAAATGAATTTGATGAGGTCGGTATTTATGTGTTTGTTGTGTGATTGGCCTTTGATTCTTTAATACTTGCAATTTTATCATTTTTTTAAAAAGAAAAAACATCTCCAATTTCCAAATATCAACTTATGAAAAATCCCTTGTGTTGTGCGATGAGAAAGCTGAAGAGAAAGTAAAGTTGTTTCTATGAATTTCGGCAAAATACTATCCTTTAAGAGTGTCTATGTGTCTTCAAATACTGAGATACGAGTAATGTTGTTTGCACCGTCTTGTATTTGTTCACTTTCTTTTTTTTTGGGCGTCTTATATTTGCACCGTCTTATGTTTGTTCACTGCTACACTATTGAAAGGTTACGAATGAGGAACGCTTAGCTGCTGCTTTCAGCCGAATAAGGTAGGCGCTAACAGAGGAGGAAGAGGCGAAGGAGGTGGAACTAAGGAGCGCGCCGAAGAAAACTTACCGGTGACCACCCAACCGGTAGCAATGAACAAAATTCTCTTGGGAAATTCACTGCCACATGTGCTTTTTCTATATTTGTGTTTAGTTACTTTGATTTCAAACCCTAAACGCAACCGTACTTGGTGCGTTGACCCTAAGGTAGATCCATAGCGCCGAAATGGAGACAACACAGAGTATAGTGATGTAACGTTGCACAGAGGACTGGTGGCAGTGTTGGGCCAAGTTACGAGGATAATACGGCTATTATCTATGGTTTAAGTAGCATTTTGATGAATATGATGTTATAGAGCCACCTTAGAAACATGTTTGCAGCTATTGGTTTTACACATTTACTCAAATCCAAAATATATATATATATTCAGGTTCTGATTTGCACTCATAATTTGCTTTTTGATTTTTTGTGCATATATTTTAGAGGCGGCACAATAAATAGTCGTTGATAACTTAATTTGTTGTGAACCGAAAGGGATGCTTGCCAGTGCTTTCACTTTCATTACATTCATTTTAGCGAAGCAATTTTATTTCAATAGTTTCATTGCTCTTCATGTAATGTTCAGCTTTATGCAGAATGGGAATTTAGCATAATCAGCAATTATATTGAATTTTATTGAGTATTGTTTTCATTTAGCCTTTATTGTTGTTTGATTTTATGCTGAAACATGTTTGAAACAGGACAGGTGATGCATTGGAATGATGACATAGAGATGTATAAGCTTCTTTGCTCATCTATGTTGAAAGATATTTTAGAGAAGATACACTTCAAACTGAAAAGCTTAGTGCTCACTAAGTGCCTCTTTTTTGGTTGAATATAGATTGATATGCCACCATGTCCCTTTATATCGAATATGTTTTTTTAGAAATCCTATTAAGTATATTTAAGATCATATATAATGCTTAGTTTTACTTTAAAAATTATTCTATATTAAAAGTGTAACACAACTTCAAGCTCTAAATCCCTATATAATATGATTTTGAAGCATTGATAATTTTATGGAGTTTGTGTGCATCTCTTAATCAGTGCTAAAGTTTGTGTGTGTCTATTTATCCATATCAACCCAAGGGGTTGGCAGCAGGAGAAAGGCCTGGGAAGAGTGCGGTTGTATTTTACAAGATCTCGCAGTAAGTAAACCTCATGCTGAATTTATGGTCCTTGATTTTTCTTCTCTTTTTTTCATTTTCTGTATCTTAACAATATGCTGGTTCTTGGTTGGACTTTTTTTGGGAGTAGTGGGCTAACCCTGTTTTCATGGTAAAGTACCCAGATACCTGCGAATGGTACTGCTAAACCTTAATACTCTTAGAATCATATCGAAGGTTATTTGGTTGCAAAACTGGGTTCAAAACCCTCGAGTAGTAGTTTATAATTTATTAGCTTTTAAAAATGTCCAGTTGTTAAACGAAAAAACAAAACTCTGATCATTTACTTGATGCTAACAACTAAACTCTAACTTTAAATTCTACTCCG